GCCCCTTTTGTCTAGAGGAAGAGGCACACACAGAGAGATAGTAAGAGTGATTGGGAGACAGCCATGAGTACTAGTCCCTGACTTCAAACAAATTCTTCAGCCCTGGTACTTAGTTTTACCTATTTGCTCCAAGACTGAACTATATGTAAAAACTTCAGCTCCCTTTTATTTATTTCAGTATAAAGCCCTACAAACCCTAACAGTAGGGATCCAGCCATTACTTGTTGGCTTCTGGGACAGAGACAGATTACTGGGTTTCAGTAACCTAGATGGGACTTCACTTATCCACATTAGGCCAAAAAGGCATGTAGGAGTGGCAGTGAGGTAGAGAGTATATAAATGTTTGGTACTTTTTGAATAAGTAACTGAATAAACTGACAAGCTGTGTCACCAGAGCTAGGCTGCTACATTTCCCTTCGGAGTCCAGAGGTAATTCTGAGGGGTTAGGGGATTGTCTTTCTAATGCTATAGCTGAAGAGCCCCCATTGGTGTGCTCCCTTCATTTATTATCAGTCAATATCAATTGGTCAGCCAGACAGTTGGCTTTTAGTAGGGGGATATTTACTCAGGTGGTATAAGAAGCAGTTGGTACAAAACATCCTCCCAAAAGTCTGCGACATACTCACCTATCAGCACATACAAAGTCCTAGAGAAAGTGACCTCAAGCTTAGAAATCACATATGGCAAAGGGTAATCTGTAGCTTCTATAAATCTTTTTTGTTGGTAAAACCCTCTGGATGTTCCCCTTAGGAACAGTATAACTTTTCTGCTGGGTTCTTTTCTCCTGAGTTTTTACTCTATTTTCTTCAGTTCATCTCATATGTCCGTGGCTCTTGATGCAGACACTGATATCAGCCCCATTCATTGCTGTTCCAGGATGCTGATGAAAAACTCTCCAAAGTCATGATATTCTCCTCTGGCCAAAGGGTGAGAAGAAGAGACTGAAACCTAGACTGATACCCTATCACTCTCTTCCCCAGCTGTCCGAAGTGATTCTTTCTTAAAGACTTGCATAGAAAGCTTCTACTCTAAGCTGCCTGTTACTTAAATCTCTCAGTCCCTGAACTGGATTGGTATTTTATAAAAGACCCATAAGGCATGACCAAGTGTTTTCAATCAATTGGAACAGACTTTCTCTTGGACCTAATTGAAACATCTGATTGGATTCAATAAAGATGCATTCTTCAGGGGGCAGAACCAAGATGGCTGAGTGAAAGCAGTGACTTGCTTGAGCTCTCTCCCAAACCCCTCCAAATACCTATAAAAATGGCTCTAAACAAATTCTGAAGCAGCAGAACCCACAAAAAGACAAAGTGAAACAAATTTCCAGCCCAAGACAACCTGGATGGTTGATTGGAAAGGTATATCACACCAGGCTGGGAGAGGGACGCAGTTTGGTGTGAATGCCCAGGCTGCAGCGAACCTGGAGCAGGCCTCAGAGGACTGAATCGCAGGCAGCTGTGGTGGTTTCCAGACTTCTCAACCCATAAAGGCCAAAGACAACTTAGAAGGTCAGTGGGAAAAATCTGTTTCTGTGGTGGTGAGAGGGAATAGCAGGGTCCCAGCCCCATTCCCCAAGCTCAGCCCACAGCAACTGCCTCCTGAGCTTCTGGTCCACAAACTGAGGGGGAATTGAGTGGCTGATCAGAGTGGGATTGCAAGGGTCTCTCTGCTGGTGCAGGATCCTCTTGCTTTGCCCATGCTTGGATCTGGGTCACAGTTCTGGGTGGTGGTCCTGAGGTGAGGAGGAGTGCTGGAGTGGTAGAGCTTGTAGTGGCTGTAGAGAAAATCCTCCTCACAGTTCCAAGACAGCAAAGAGTGCTCGTGGTCACTCACAGAGCAGAGCACAGGACAGGACAGGAGTAAACACCTCGCCCTCGATCATAGCACCTTGGAAGAACTGAAAATTTACAGATCCCTAGAAGTATCTCTGAAAACAGGTGCACAAAACCCCTGAAGCTTGGGACAATACATTCTCCACACTGGAAACAGACCCCTACCTTAACAAAGAGTTTATAACTCAAGTAATTGGCCAGGATCATGAGCAAGCAGTGCAAAAAGAGTCAGACTATATTATCTTACTTTGGTGACAAAGAAGATCAAAACATGCAACCAGAAGAAGCCCAACAAAGTCAAAGCTCCTATATCCAAAGCCTCCAAGAAAAATGTGAATTGGTCCCAGGCCATGGAAGAGCTCAAAAAGGATTTTGAGAAGCAAGTAAGAGAAGTAGAGGAAAAACTGAACATGATACTAAAGGAGACCCAAAAAATTACTGAAGAAAATAACACCTTAAAAAATAGCCTAACCCAAACGGCAAAAGATATCCAAAAAGCCAATGAGGAGAAGAATGCCCCAAAAAGCAAAATTGGCCAAATGGAAAAGGAAATCCAAAAGCTTACTGAAGAAAATGCTTACTTAAAAATTAGAATGGAGCAATTGGAAGCTAGGGACTATATGAGAAATCAAGGCACTGTAAAACTAATCCAAAAGAATGAAAAAATAGAAGAGAATGTGAAATATCTCATTGGAAAAACAACTGACCTAGAAAATAGATCCAGGAGAGAGAACTTAAAAATTATTGGACTATCTGAAAGCCATGATCAAAAAAAGAGTCTAGACATCATCTCTCAAGAAATTATCAAGGAAAACTCTCAAAAAATTATCAAGGAACCAGAGGGCAAAATAGAAATTGAAAGAATCTGCCAATTACCTCCTGAAAGAGATCCCCAAAGGAAAACTCCTAGGAATATTGGAGCCAAATTCCAGAGTTCCCAGGTCAAGGAGAAAATATTGCAGGCAGGATAACACAAGATTTACCAGCTTCTACATTAAGGGACTGGAGGGCATGGAGTATGATATTCTGGAAGGCAAAGGAGATAGGATTATAACCAAGAATCACCTACCTAGAAAAACTGAGTATAATGCTTCAGGGTAAAAAAATGGTCATTCAGTGAAATAGAGAACTTTCAAGCATTCCTGAGGAAAAGACCAGAGCTGAATATAAAATTTGATTTTCAAATACAAGACTCAAGTGGAACATGGAAGAGGTAAACAGGAAAGAGAAATCATAAGAGACTTATTAAGGTTGAACTGTTTACATTCCTGCAGAGAAAGATGATATTTGTAACTCATGAGACCTTTGTCAGTATTAGGGTAGTGGGAGGGGAAAAATTATATGTAGATAGATAGATAGATAGATAGATAGATAGATAGATAGATTGGTTGATTGATAGAGGGCACATGGTGAGTTGAAGATGAAGGGGTGATATCTGGAAAATAAAATTAAGGGGTGAGAAAGGATTATACTGGGAGAAGGAGACAGGGAGAAGTAGAATGAGGTAAATTATCTCACATGAAACAGACAAGAAAAGGCTTTTACAGTGGAGGGGAAATGGGGGAAGGTGAGAGGGAATGAGTGAATCTTATTCTCATAGGATTTGGCTTAAGGAGGGAATAACATACACAATGGAGTATGGAAATCTATCGTACCCTACAGGAAAATAAGGGGGGAAGAGGACAGGAGAGCAGGGGGTTGATAGAGGGGAGGACAGATTGGGGGAGGGGGTAATCAGAAGCAAACACTTCTGAGGAGGGACAGAGTCAAAAGAGAGAATAGAATAAATGGGGGTTAGGATAGGATGAAGGGAAATATACTTAGTTTTTCACAACATAACTACTATGGAAGTGTTTTGCATGACTACACATCTATAACCTGTATCTAGATGCTTGCCTTTTCAATTAGGGTGGGTGGGGAGGTAGGAAGGGAGAAAATTCATCATCCAAAGTTTTAAAAACACATGTTAAAAATTTTTTTAAAAATTAAAAATTTTTAAAAAGGTGCGCTCTTCATTGGTTATGGTATCATGGCTTAGCATCTTTCACTTCTCTAAGTGGGTTGAGATAATTTATCAATTTACTCGGTAAGCCCTTCTCTTACAATTATGTGCTTTTTTCCTAATGAGCCTTACAGTAGGATTAAGGTAAATGTAGCTACGTCTCTGTTCTTGAATCTCCAGATCTCAACTAGCTTGATACCCAAAGAGCAGCACTTATCCAATGACTCCTGAAGTACCCTCCAGCATTTTGGTTTTTTTTGGTTTTGTTGGGTCTGAACCTCTTTAGCTAAAGAGAACTCTCAGTTCTCTGGAAGTGGAAAAACTCTTCACTAAGGATGATGGTTCATTGATCAGTAACTTATAGTCTTAGAAAGTTGCTTAGGATCACTTAGAGGTTAAGTGATGCCCATGGCCACACATGTTGTCTATGTCAGGGGCAGAACTTGTACCTCTTTCTGATTCAGGCTGACCTCAGTTTCTTTATTTGTAAAATGAGGGAGTCAGTTGCATTAAATGATCTCTAAGATCTCTTCTAGCTCTAAATCTAAGACCTTCTTCAATGCACCATGGGGCTCTCCAATTTACCTGATTTAAGACAACAAACTCTTGGTTGATTGCCATACACATAATAATAACAAAAATAAGAATACTGGACATTTATACAGTACTTTGTAGTTTGCCAAACACTTTAGATTCATTACCTTAGTCAAACTTCCCAACAACCCTGTGAGGGAGGTACTATTGGTATTGTTATATACAATTTATAGATGAAGAAACTGAGTTTCACAGACATTAGGTGAATAGCAGTGGTCATGGATCCTGGAAGTCATCATGTCATAAGCTTAGAGATTTAGAACTGGATGGTATCTTAGAACTCCTATAAACAAACTAAACTGTCTCAGAGGGGTTAGGTGACTTGCCCAGGATCACAATGTTAGTAAACACAATGGTAGTAAACATCAAAAGAAGGATTCAAATTCAGTCCTTCCAAGCCTATGGTTCTATTTCTCATAAAATTGAGTTTGCTGCTCCCCAACCCTATTTCTGACATTTGCCAAATGTTCTACTAAATTAAAGTTTCACCCCCAGATGGCAGCTAAAAATTCTAAGCCAAACCATTCAGAATCCTTTTTTAAGCTGGTGTGTGGCTGCTAGCTACTCACCCTCAGCATCTGGTTTGGGGTTCTCTTCCTTTTTATTCAAGTTGCTTAGCTAAATGGGGAACAAGAGGAAGGAGGATTAGGCAAATCTCAAAGCCAAACTAAACCTTTTAACCAAAAGCATCCTCAGCAGAGCTGAAGCCAAGAGCAAGCCAATATCATGGTTTACCTAAATACTTTGGCATGGAGTAACCTCCTAATACAATGCTCTGTATGTAGTAGGTGCTTAATAGATGTTTACTGAAGGAATGTTTTATTAAATTAAATATACCTTAAATTAGAATATGATGAATGCATAAGAGTACAACACGAGATGAGAGACCAAATGAGTAGGGGAACCACAGAGGAGGCCATGGAAAAGATGGCATTTGAGATGGGCCCAGGCCTCCATGCCATTTCCCAGCCCTGAACTCGGACTATCACCACCACCTTCACCTCCTCTATACTAGGATGCTGGATTCTAACCCTGGGTCCCTCAGCCCAGTTGGTAAACTTTTGCTTTATCTTGCTAGGACTCAGGCCCACATGACAGTTCCCAGCCCTGTTCCGCATCACATTCCTAAGTGTATATCCTAATCACTTGCTTTCTTGCTCCCTTCAATGTGTTACCATCCTACATTAGAATGTAAGCTTCTCAAGGATAGGAACTGCCTTGATTTTTTTGTGTTTGCATTCCCTGCCCTTCTGGCTATTTATCTAGACATATTCCCCAAACCCAGGTGGTCCAGGAAAGACACAGTTTGGATATTTTGCATCATCCTCCCCCCCTACACACACACACACACACACACACACACACACTCCCCCCGAGTCATTCTTTCCCTAACTAGGAAAAAGAATAGAGGGAACACAGACCATCCCAAAGTGGTGTATACAGTACGTTCAACATGAAAACCTTGAGAACTCTGGATTTGTCTTGGTTCTTCCTCCCAATGTAGGACAAGGATTCAGGAAAACCATCAGGGTAGAGAAGAGTACTTCCAAACACCACTTTTCTACTCAGAGTCCCTGTTGCTGGAAGGGATTGCCTTGTACTTGTCACCACAGCTTACTCATTGCTGGTGGAACAGAGAGAGCAGACTCAAGGGTTGGCCCTAGCAAGGCAAGCCCACAGCAGAAACCTCTCTCTCTTGTCTCCAACCTTGAGAACTTGGGTTCCTCTTTCTGGTGGTGAAACTATCTGTTCCATGCCTTCTGTCCTTTTGGCTTTCCTCACCTTTATGGGCAGGGCCAATGTGAGGCTCAGAATATTGGTTGTCACATAGATAGTGGTTATTTAACCCTGATTCCATAAGTATCCAGAGCCCAGGATTTCAAAGACTAGAACTCAGGCCTTCTCATTATCATAACTTTATTTATAACATTATCATAACTCAAGGATCTTTTTAATAGGTCACTTTGGGCCAGCTAGGTGGTGCAGTGGATAGAGCTCCGGCCTTGAAGTCAGGAGGATCTGAGTTCAAATCCGAACTCAGACACACAACTCACAACATGTACTAGCTGTGTGACCCTGGGCAAGTCATTTAACCCCAATTGCCCAGCAAAAAGCAAAAAAAAAAATAGGTCACTTTGTTCTGAGATATTAGAGCCAGAAGATCTAGGCCAGGGGTGGGGAACCTGTGGCCTCAAGGCTGAATTCTAGGCTCTTGACTTCTGGCCCTGTCTGGCTATTTAGATAGTTACATAACCCTGACTAATATGGAAACATATTTTACATGATTGCACTTATATAAGCTTTATCAAATTGCTTACTGTCTTAGGGAGGAGGAAGGAGATGGGAGGAAGGAGGGAGAAAAATTTGGAACTCAGTCTTATAAAAAATGAATGTTAAAAATTGTTCTTACATGTAATTGGAAAAAAATAAAATGCTATTCAGACAGTCATGTAGTCTCAGGTAAATCATCCTTTTTTTGGGCCTTAGTTTTCTTGTTTGTAAAATGAGGGGGTTGGATTACATAATCTCAAAAGGACTTTAAAATATATGATTTGTATTTATGTAATTTACCTACTGCTTTTCTTTCCGATGTGTCATTGATGTCTAAATGTTGTGTAAATATAAATCCTCAGCAACTCCTGGTAAAGCACTTTAAGAGCCATAAGCAATGGGAAGTTTCGAAGCAATGTCCTGAGGAATAATAGGAGGGACAATTTCCTGACCATTAGAGTGAGTCTGATGGATTGGAACGGGCTCCCCCAGGAGTTAGTGAGTTCCCCGTTACTGGACATATTTAGATGACAGTTGTCCTCTCGGACCTCTCCTTCCTTGTTTCTGTTGAAGGGACCACCACCCTTCCTATTAACCCAGGTTCATAACCTTGGTGTCCTCCTCAACTCTTCCCTCTCCATCAACTCTTATATCCAATAAACTCTTGTTCATCCTAATTCCACATCTTTCATATCCATCCCCCTTCTTTCCCTGACTTGGCTGCCATCTTCAGGTCCCCATTACTTTTCACTTGAACTATTGCTGCAGCCTTCTAATTGCCCTCTTCATCTCTAGTGTCTCCTCTTGTTCAAATACTGCCTTTGATGCTTACTACCTGTATGATCTTGGACCTGTCAGCTTCCTGGACCTCAGTTTCCTCATTTCTAGAATGAAGGGCTGGACCAAATGGCCTTTGAGTTCTGTTTCAGCTATGACATTATGATCCCAGAATCCCACTCCAATACGTCCTCTACACAGCTGTCAAACTGATCTTCATAAAGCATAGATTTGATGATGCCATTTCCCTACTCAAAAATCTTTGATGGCTCTAGAATAAAAGACAAAATCTCCAAGCTGGTACTGAAAAGTCTTCACAATCTGGTTTTTATCTCCCTTTCTAATCATTTCCTATTGTTCCCTTTTACTTACTCTCCATTCCAACCAAATAGCTGGGATACATGAAACTCCATTTACCACCTCCACGAACTTGCACAAGTGGTCCCTCCTATCTGGAATAGACTTCCTCCTTATCTCCACCATGTAGACCCCTCTGTTCCTTAAAAGCATAGCTCAAATGCCATCTCCTACACAAGGCCGTTCATGATTCCCTTGCTTTTTTCATGCCCTCTCTTTATTGAAATTACATTATATTTATATACATACATATTCTACCCCTGGTAGAATGTAATCTCCTTGAAGGCAGGGACTATTTAATTTTTACCTTTTTTTAAAATCTCCAGAACCCAGCCCAGTGCCCAGCACAAAATAAGCTTGTTGAATTTAATTTAGTTGAATTGAGATTGTGGAGGGCATTCTTGTTCAGGTATCGGTGGGAATGTATGGCTCCTGAAGTTCAATGATTCTAAGAGTCTCTGATCTAGTAGAACTTTTTTCTGGGAAGATCTTAAAAAGGCTATCTGTGTACTATTTTATTTGAAATGCATTGGCATGCCATAAATTATTAAAATAGCCCTGCAGAAAATGTTGTTCCAAAGTAGGTCAGCCCATCTGATGACATTTTCCCTTTAAGATCATTCCATCTTGGAGAAGACCCAGTCCTCTTCTCACTCTCTTAGCCTAGCCTGTCATACCTGTCCACAAATATGCATTAAGTACCCATGAGGCTTTGTACAGGTTTCTGAGTTGGTAGAGCACACAGAATCCATTCTTGGGGAAGCAATAGACAGTAGGAAATAACAGTGAAAGGAACTGAGGAATTCCACTCCCCTGAATGAGCTGCTCACAAGGTGTCTTTGGCATAGTGGGTAGGGTGTTGGACTGCAGCCAGGAAGTCCTGAGTTCAAATCCTGCCTATGGCACTAGCTGTGTGGCCTTGGAAAAGTTCTAAGATCACAGCTTTTGAAATGGAAAGGTCCTAGAGGCCATCATCAATATATCCAACCCCTTCTTTTTTCAGCTAAGAAAACTTAGACATGAGAGAGGATAAATGACTTGCCCAAGGTTGTATTAAGTAAGTAGGTTGGTTGGTTAGTTGGTTAGTTGGTTGGTTGGTTAGTTAGTTGGTTAGTTGGTTGGTTGGTTAGTTGTTGGTTGGTTAGTTGGTTGGTTGGTTGGTTAGTTGATTGGTTAGTTGGTTGGTTGATTGGTTAGTTGATTGGTTGGTTAGTTGGTTGGTTAGTTGGTTGGTTGGTTGGTTGGTTAGTTGATTGGTTAGTTGGTTGGTTGATTGGTTAGTTGATTGGTTGATTAGTTGGTTGGTTGGTTAGTTGGTTAGTTGGTTGGTTGGTTGGTTGGTTGGCTGGTTGGTTAGTTGTTTGGTTAGTTAGTTGGTTGGTTGGTTAGTTGGTTGGTTGTTGTTCATGACTGGAGAGGAACAAAATGCCATCACTATGTTGGGGTCAAGGTACAGTATGTCCAACAATGGCTGCTAAAATCAATCCAAGCTCAGAAGGCTCTACCAGAGGTTGGACACAAGTAGTCCACATGAACATTTGGAGTGGAGATGTTTCTAAATTTGCACATCTCACATTTCAGATAAGTATATGTGTATGTAAGGAAGTATATGAGAAGGGATTAGCATGAGAATTTTCTTTCTTCTGAGTCTAATGGCTTAATTACATTCTACAACTTAGCTTCTCTTTAAGCCCCTGGTTTCCATGTCCATCAAACAGAGATAATATTATTTTACCTTACAAGGCTGTTGTGAGTTAATGTATACAGATCATTTCACAAATGGATGATGGGAATGAATGAAAAACATTTATTAAGGACTTTCTACATGTCAAATATTCCCTGGAGATTCCAATACAAAAGCACTGTCCCTGGCCTAAAGCCATTTGCATTATAAAAGGGAGGGGCAGTAACTAAAGGGTATGGTACCCTGGAAAGGGGGACCACTGGGGTCTGGCAAATTAAGAAGAGGTGAGTGGCACAATAGAGGTTTGGATTTCTCTCCATGGCATCCTTTAATCAGGCATTACTGGGGTTAATTTGAATGCAGTTCTAGGAACAAGAGTTAGAAAGGAGGGTAGGACAGCCAGGCAGATATCTGGAGCAAAAATGTGTGAAAAACCAATGTCCCTGGAAGGTCAGAGCCCAGTGGCTGTGGGCTTGTTTCAAGCAGTCGGGTTTGGAGATTGGAGCAGCAAGGCATAGGCAAACTTTAA